CATTTTCAATTTATAGGCCAGCACACCACTAGGAGAGCCAGAAGTGACATAACTACTCCACCATCCCCGCACCAAATCCAGAAAGCCTTCCGCTTGTAGCCACATATTCTCAAAGCGAAACGACACGAGGCCACGCTGAATCCCCCCACTATCAAGCAAAATGGGCCAATGGTCAGACACTGGGCGAGGAAGGCGTATATGAACGACCTTCAAAAAATGCTCCTTCTATCCCCCAGTAACCAGAAAACAGTCAATTCAAGACAACCTCTTCCCATTTAACCAAGTTAAGCTTCACTCTTTAATAGGTAAGTCAGCCAGTTGCAATTTATCTATGAAAGAGCAAAAGGCTCTCATGGAGCCCGAGACGTGAGTATTTCCCATCTTCTCCAATGGCCACCTGACAACATTAAAATCACCCCTCCACACACCATGGTTCATCCTATCGAAACACAATATTCTCCAGTTCCTCTAGGAACACTCCTCGTTCCGAATTTTGCACCGGATCATACACCCCAGTAAAGGCCCGCCGAAAGCTATCCTCTATACATTGAAACAAACAAGACACTGAAAAAATCCCGACCTCCTCCTCCTCCCTCACCACCATCCTTTAATCCCAGCAAAGAACCCCACTCGCCATACCTGATGACGACGAAAATGTCCATTCCACAAACCTCCTCCCCCACACTTCCCGAGTCAACTCCATCCTCAACACCTCCATCTCTGTTTCTTGTAGACACACAACATCAACTTTTGCACTCTGCAGCTCTACCTTCATCGTCATCCTCTTATCCTTGTCGTTCAAACCCCACACATTCCAAGATAAAATTTTTAACTTCATTTCAACAACAATGGTCCCCTACGATCTCTTCTATCACCTTGTCTTGCATTCTTCCTCCCCATGATCATAATTACCCCTTTTACCAGGGGTAACGAACGGCGTACCCACTCTCTTACTGGGAGCCCCTTGCTGCCACGATGTTTCCACTGCCACAAATAATCGCATAGCCTCCGCTTTATAGCCTTCAAACGACAGACCCAGACAACGACTAATTTCCCTGATGTGTTCCAACACCCATTCTGACACTGCCTCAGACGATGGTACGTCAATCCCATTCAACCAACCACTAGCTTGAAACATCTTTTGGTTTTGTCCCAGAAATTCCTTTGGAGCACCCTCCTCCATCGCTAATGGTTGCAGCACCATGGGCAACACCTCTTCACTGCTATTGTCACTCTGTCCACCTTTGTCAGCCCAAGAGACGCCTCCATACACCTCCGTATTTGGGTGGACCTCTCCGTCTTCTGAGTCCGAGCTCTCTGATTGAGAACTAATTCCACCACCATTCGACATCATCTTCGACCAAAGATCATCGCCAAATGAGTCACGATGGGCCACTAGCTCCCACCCCAACTTCGTCTCTGACCAGCAACACTTATCGTCTTCATTGGCCGGCTCCGCCCTACCTATATCACCTGGGTTCTATCATCCAAGCCATGGTACCCGCTCCTCATCTCAACCCGACCCACATAAATAGGGTCTGTATTGACTTCGGTGAACGCAGGTTGGCCCAATTCACTCCCCTTTGGGCTTGAGTCACGAGCTGAAGTTCCCACCACATTATTCTCACTGGCCTATACTTGTGTAAGTTTCTGAATATTTTTGTATATTCCAATTGTCAATAATACAAAGAGTACAACCGCATTATATAGACCTAATCTAAAAAAGGAAATAAGAATAAACTTATAATCTTACAATCAATCTAATATTCCCACAATCAATCTAATATATTTACATAATTAGCATAATATTCTCACAACTTGATCCTTTTTATTTTTTGCCACAACCCATGTCTTGCGGCCCACAATTCCTTTCCTAGCTTCTTGGGCCTTTTCCAGGCCCAACTATCCCCTTTGGGGCCCCATTGGGTAACCTACACCAGTCCCCAATGGTTGAGGTTTACCCCGTATGCCCATGGACCTCTTTTCCATCCTAAATCTTTGCAGATACTCCTTCACCCCACAAACTCCATCTGATTGCGCAAAATTCTTCCTTTCCTTATACAAACCAGATCCCCTAACCCTTTTGGTTGTCAGCAACCTCAGCTTACGATCGGGTCTTCCTCCATCCATACAAGCAGCAAGAACCGCCATATCCCCCATCGAATGAAGACTCGCGACAGTGTGTGCTCTGAGCATCTCACTCCAGCTGAACACAACCCAGATCCACCGATGATTCATCTGTCTCCACGAAAACACCACACCGATTGCCAATAGCATGGTGCACCTCTACCCTACAAAGATGAATAGGTAGGCCCACTACCTGAATCCATACACTTTTCTCAGGCATCGACATCTTTCCTGAAGTACACGGAGCCAATGGTGACTACCATTCCAGCAATGGGTCATGCCCATCCACTGTCCATCGTTGTCGCATCACCGCCTTTGCCTCACTTCTATTTGGCAAGACGAAAAGGAAGGCCTTATCCCCTTACGGTCACACCTCCACCTTCCCTGACTGTTGCCACCAACGACCAACCCATTCCGAGATAGCCGCTAAGCTTAGATCCTTGTCACCCATCCCCCCAACTTGCCCACCAACGATCTATCCAACATCTGGAACCAATCAACTTCTACCCTAGTGCGAACGACCTCTTCAGACTCTCGAGGGTTGGCCAATAATGTTGGGCTAGAAGTGGACGGCATCTTCTTCGAACCACCAAGTCTCATTACCTTCTCATTAGTCATTCCAAAGTCTTCTATGACCAGCGCCACCCCCTCCCACCCATCGCCAAAGGCAGACATAGGTATAAAAATCTGTTCTCTCCGCTTTCTTGTCGTCACCACTATTTGAAACGATGACCCACCACTTTCCTCGCCACGAACCCATACTGCAACAAAGCGATTACCCCCACTGAGACGACCTAGGAATTTTAGATTCTCTGGTTCCATAGATGCTATCTTCATTCTCGCCACAATCGATCTTGCTTCCGACCCATTCAACACTGCCGCCCATCGAATCCCCTCCCCCCTCTCAACAATGGACTAATTGCACCGCCCATCCACTCCCACCAACGTCTCCTCAAACTCGAACGATCGGCCACCAAGAAAGAGAATCCGATGGCGTGGACCGACTTCTTTCTTTATTGGGAACATTTACCTTTCCTAGAATCTCAGAGCATTATTCCTAAAAGCTGCATAGTTTTTTTCTAGGTAGTAGACTCAACAAAATTTGCTTCAAGAATACCTACAAAATACTATTACATCACTCATCAACTATCCACTAAAACTGAAAAACTTGATGTAACAAGATAAGTGGAGCAAGATTATCACCAACAATCCTCTTCCACGACTGCTGGTTGTTTCCTTGACTACAAGCCAAAATGGTGTTAGACAATCTTCTCTTGCCCCTTGGTAGAGTTGATTCTGTTGAGTTGGAGTTTTGTAGTTTTGAGTTAGAACATTTTTTTTCCCCTTTTGAAATCCCATTCTGCCCTTGCTGGTAACATTAGTATTTTAAGGCGGTGAATAGTTTGCAATGTTGGAGATTGGCATCCAGTACTGAGCACATCATGGATCTCTTCCAAGTGTCAAGCTGAAAGTTGGGATGGGAGAAGGGCATGGAAAGATGTAGTGTAGGCTGAAATGACATAAAGTTGTCCAGTGGCAAAGCTAGAATTCTTCTTGAACAACTAGTTAGTATATGACTTTTCACTCTGCGAAATTTACAAAAAAAGAAATTATTTGCGATACATTCCTATATGATTTTTCTCTTATAAAATTGAATGTATTAAAAAGAAAAGTTATTCCAGAATAAAAATGAATAAGTTATAACATGTGAACCATGAAAGCAAGAACAAATGTAAGCATTGGAACTTTTACTTAACTTATATTTTAATTATTGTTTGACATTAACCCCCTTAGTTTAATCTTTTAATCCTTTTCAAACGATTTTAGTGGGTTCAAAATGTATAAATGTCCAAAGTTTAAAGAAAATATCAAGTAGGTCCATACTTTCTTCAAAATCTTGTTGGGTTCAATCCACTAGGAGCTATGTCGCTCTGCCCTTCAAGGTACCAAATCAATAAAGATGAGATTAAAAAGCCTTGGCTCTTCGAATAAATGCTCATTTTTTGACCTCTCTCTCTCTCTCTCTCTCTCTCTCTCTCTCTTAATCCTCCTTTTGACAAAAAAGAAGGGATTTTATTCATGTAAAGAAAGGTTTGCAAAAAGTGGTTCTATAGATGGCAGCAAAAGGGAATGGACAACAGAACTCTAGACTTGGGAAGCCTAATAAGGCTCCAAAATTTAGTTGCTTGCTTTTCTCAAAAACAGTCCAAGGGGTTACCATATGCAATTACAGACATTAAAGATGCTAAACCAAATGGATTTTGTGAAGCCAAAGTGCCCCCAGAACTGTATGCAAATTAACTCTGCTATGTGATAAAGCTTACAGTATATTGCCTTAGCATAGACTTCATGGTTCCATTTTCTTGCAATCAGTTCTTAATCATGGATTGTGGAACAGAGTGACTGTCCTGATAGGACGATAAATTTTACATGGAACCAGAGATTTTGAAATGAAAAGGATGCCACTTTTGTACTAGGAAAAATTTTCAATTTGCGAATTTGAAAATATCAATTTACTGCTTTATTTTCTGTGCACTTTTTCAATCTGTTTATAATTTTTCGAAGTTCAATCGCATGTGTGAATTTTGTTTTTGTTTTGTTTTGAATTTTGATTCTATTTTGTGCATTCTTGTAACATGATCTGCAGCTGTATACCTTCCTTTCTGCTAAAGATTGTTTTTTGTTTTTGGATAAATAAAAAGAATTCTTTTCTGCTTAAGATTGTGACATTTGTGAAAAGCTATTATACTGGCAGAATGTTTCTCTGTACAAGAAAATCTGTTGAAGTTGGTGACGATTTCTTGTTCTATATTCAATTGTCAATATCAGTTTAAAATATAAAAAGAACACTCTGGTTTTGATTTTCTATTTACTTTCAGGCAGAAATTCAGCTTAATTTTCAGAAAAGAAGAGGCCATGGAGTATTATCTGTACTTCGGCCCAAATTCAGCGGTGTGTTGGGTGAAGCTCTAGACGTGGCTGCCAGGTGGAGTGGTGATGTTGTGAGTATTTAAACCAAAGTTTCTGTTCTGAAAATTCGACCTTTTTGTGGATGTCCTGGTTCGGATTTCTTCTGAGACACACTTGGGAGTCCAAGACTTTCTAATTCACCCACTAAAAAAAAAAGAAGACTCATTTGTCCAAGACTCAAACTACTTAATTCACCAGCACAAAAAAAGGAGTCCTTTTTCTTTCTGCTCATTTCTTACTTGAAGCTGCAAATGTTAAATTGGATGTCAAACAATCATTGTAAAGAAAGTCCAAGATTCATTTGTTCATGATTCAAATGGACCATCTTGATTCTTGACTTTCATGTCCACCCCCAAACCCTGCTCTTTCTCCATGGCGGTGAAAAGGCGCACGGTGGTGTTGGGGTTTTTAGATATGATTTTCAATGTTCTCTTTTTTCAAGAGAAAACAGAAATCTGTTTGCCGTTTTCAATTGATGGCTGATATCTTGAATATTTTTTACTTGGAATTTAAGCAGATATTTTTTTGATTTCAATATTTTTCTTTGAAAAAACTCATGAGAAAATAGAACGGGCACTAAAAAGTTTTAGTTGGGCTATAGGAAATAGCCTCCAATATCGATCACTTCTAATATGTATTGGTGTCAAATTTCGAGTTTGGTTTGTTTCAGGTTGAGAATTTTTTAGAATCAAACAAAATGCCAGCAAAATCGTTTTAATTTTCTTCTCTTCGGCTTAGTTGAGATGTTTTAAATTCTTTCAGCCCAAAAATTAACCTTGGTCCCTTTTTGGTTCAAATTTTTTTTTTTTTTTTTTTTTTTTGGGGGTGTTTTTGGGTTTTTTTTTGGGAAAAAAAAAAAAAAAAAAAAAATTTTGTTTTTGTTTTTGGTTCGCAATCTCATTACTGCTTGATGCTTTATGTCTAGATCACTGTTGAAAAAGCTGTTTTGGAACAATGCAATAGCCAGTACGAGTTACAAGGTGAATATGTGTTGCCTGGCACCCGAGATAGAAACTCCATTGTTAAGGAAAAGGGTAGTCTATTTGAAAGAGCCATGGCTGGGCATCTGGGTAGTGTGATATCTTCAATGGGTAGATGGAGAATGAGACTAATAGTTCCTCGAGCTGAGATTTCTGAGATGCTTCCACTTGCAAGGCTTCTTTCTAGAAGTACAGATCCTGCTGTTCAATTTAGATCCAAGGTCATTTTCAACTTTAATGTGATGGAACTGGTATTTATGATAGTTAACTATATGTATTTCTTTAGCATGTTGCTGGTTTAAGTTTAGCAGGTGGTAGCCTATGTTCCTATTACTATACATGGTTATTAGAATCCCGATCCGGATCTTACGATCCTACGATCTTACGATCCATTTGAGTACAATCGATCCGGATCGTGTAAAAAATTTCTTATAGGTAGGATCTTTCGATCCTAGCAATGGGATCTTATAGGATCGTGGAATCCCGATCCGAATCCGATTTTATCCGATCCAATTTACAAGCCTTGTTTTGTATTGTATGACATATTTTATTGTAAATTTTATGTTTCTTGTCTAAATACTAATTTATGTGATCAAAATAAATAATAAAAAATAAGTAGTATTGAATCAAATAGACTAAGAAAAACGAACTAAGAAACAACCATTCAAATTTTGCGGTAATTTAAGAAAATTAACTAGTCGGAAAAACAAACTTAGCTTTAGTGGAGTCTAAGGAGGGTAAGATGATTGCAACTTTATCCCAATTTTTTGAGAGATTATTTTGTGATTCGAATTCGCTCCACTAATGATGCTAACGACAAACCTTATCAGTCGGTTAAGCTACTCTTTTGAGTTCTTGTAGAAAAATTTAATGTATAAAGAGAAATAGAGAATTGTATAGATATTGATTGTATTATTGATAGATGTTTATTGATGTATATATTTTACAATGATTCATGATTCCTATATATAGAAGAGGGTGAGTGTATAGTAGGTAAGGAGTAGGTGAAGTGGAGGTGGTAGTGGTGTAGTGGGTTAGGTTTAGTGGAGTAGGTGAGGTGGTAGTGGTGTAGTGGGTTAGGTTTAGTGGAGTAGGTTTAAGTGGGTGAAGTAGGTGATAGGTTTTAACAGTTCTTAATCTATTTTCATATCTAACTTTGTTAAATATTTTTTTTTCACTTTTTATGCATTAATGTAGATTGTAAAGTATTTTGTTATATAATTCTTTTTCATCACCTTCTTTTTTGATGAAATACAAAACTTTTACCATCGAGTTTTCTATTTTATAATATTATATATACATTTTACATAGAGTATTATACTTTTCACAATATCTTCACTTCTTTTTAATAGAGTATAGGCTCATTTTGTGTATACTTTTTAAGAAATGTTTATTTAAATTAAATTATTATGTAATTTATCTTTTTCGGTAGGATCTTACGATCCTCGATCTGATTCTACGATCCGATTCTTTAAACACCTCCAACGATCCAACGTAGGGTCCCGATTTTAACAACCTTGTTACTATACAGATGTCGTAACCTTATAATTTCTTATTTTATTTTATTTTATTTTTTTGCATTTTGACAATTTATATTGAATAAAATCTAATACACACTATCACCACCCCCTTACAATGAAGGAAAAAAAGCAGTGTTCAATTTGTGTAATCTGAGTAGCTTGGTATTGCAGATGAATGTGATTTATAATTTGCTATAACAATTGTGTTATGATCTTATATGATTGATTGAAAATTCGCTAGATTCTCCTGCAGGTGATATAATTGTAGTTACAACCCTATCATACATGTCTATTATACCATTTGGTCCACTGTTTATTCCAAAACCACCATATTATATTTCTAGGCATGCTATCGTATAGTTTTTCTATATCTATAAAATCATAAGAAAATTTCTCTCTCTCTTTGTGCTTTTCTATTAATCTTCTTAGTAAATATATCAAACAAGAAGCCGTAAAAAGAATAATAAATATAAAAATAGTATTTATAAATTTTTAGTAATTATTGAAAAATAAATTTCCAAACTTCTTTGATGATTTGGTAAATTACAACCAGAGTAATATTTAAAATAAAATAAAAAAAACATTTTTAATAATGATTCTAGAAATTGAACTTTTAATTTGTAGAACAACTCAGCTAATCACAATCAAGAGTAAGAACTAAGAAACTATATTACACAATATGTACCAATTAAACAAACTAGATAATTTTAAAAGTAGGACTTGGCTATTATGTAGGCCAAGTAAGCTGTCAATGTCTTGGGCACCATATGTACCTTGCTTGATCATGAACCCCAAACTGCATCAAGCTAATTGTAGATGTACTCAGAATCAACCCCTGCTCTTATTTTGTCAGGAGAGGAGAAATCAATGGCATGTAGGCCTAGTAGGTAGATTGAGAATTACCAAAAAAAAATAATATCTCAATGTGAGCCTACTGTTATATTTATGTGGTACAGACAAGTGATTTAGCAAGGACATGCAATTAATCACTTCTCTTTTATCTCTTGTCGACTTGCCTTGACTTGTTCTGCGTACTTTCTTTATAGTGTTTTTTAGAACACAGATAGTATGTCTTGTCATAAATTTTAAGTCTCGTGTTTCTCGTGCTATACTTGCAGGACCTTTTTATGCAAAGTTTGCAGACAGTGGGACTCTATGGCGAAAACCTTCAGAACCTGCTTGCGGTACTTATTAAAAAAAAAATTAATTTTCTCTTCTACCATTCAGATACTAGACCTAGAGGAACTGGTTGTCTTTTTTATTCTGTCCATGGGGATAAGATGAACTGAACAGAAATCATCTCCAAGTCATGTTTCTATGTCTTCTTTTAACATTAAAGTAATTATAAAAATTTTCAGGAAATTCAGGGGCATATTACTCCGACAAATGAAGTTATTCTTGAAGAGTTGAGTCTTCCAGGTTTAGCTGAGCTTAAAGGTCGCTGGAATGGCAATCTTGATGCGAGTGGTGGAGGCAATGGGGACACTGTGGTAGATATCTCTGAAGTTTATTCACAGAGCAATATAAGTTGCATTTCATACAAATAATTAACTCAATACTGAAATATAAACTAATGGAGACTCATCCCTCCATTGTCCAGAGCATTGTCAGTGCATAAAACGTTGTGTCAGACTTTTAATTTAAAATTTTTTTTACTCTTTATTTTAGACGTTGAAAGTTGGGGTGGGTGACCTTCATGAATTTTGCCGGCTGATACAGATGGAATTGTTTGTTACCTATTTGCTGATTTCATTCATATAAATTTCGTGAAATTTCTCACTTTTTTTTTTCAACTTAAGAATTGACCATTAGAGATAATAATTTTGCCTCTCCTTTATTTCGCAAACAAATTAAAACCAAAAATAAAAAATAAATAGATAACAAAGATGAAAAAAAAAATTTAAAATACTTCATCTTTTGGTATTAAAAATGGAATTTGATTATTTGTTGCCTCTTAGCCATGTGCCTTTTGTTCTCGATATATTTGGCCTTTTAACTTTGCATATCTTTGCAGGCAGAATTTGACTTGCATGGGGAGGAATGGGAGTGGGGAACCTACAAAACTCAGCGTCTTCTAGCAGTTGGTGCATATAGCAATGATGATGGTTTGCGCCTTGAGAAAATGTTTATTCAAAAGGATAATGCCACAATCCATGCAGATGGAACCTTGTTAGGGCCAAAAACTAATTTGCATTTTGCTGTTCTGAATTTTCCTGTTAGTTTAGTCCCTACTCTGGTTCAGGTTATCGAATCTTCAGCCACTGATGCGGTTCATTCTTTGCGGCAATTGTTAGCACCAATAAGAGGTATATTACACATGGAAGGGGATCTCAGAGGAAGTCTTGCTAAACCAGAATGTGATGTGCAAGTAAGGCTCTTGGATGGTGCTTTTGGTGGGATTGATCTTGGACGAGCTGAAATTGTTGCTTCCCTAACCTCAACTAGCCGTTTTCTGTTCAATGCAAAATTTGAACCTATCATTCAGAATGGCCATGTACACATTCAAGGAAGTATTCCGGTAAATTTGGTCCAAACTAGCAATTCGGAGGAAGAAAAGTTGGAAAGGGAGAAAAATGAGGCAACTTGGATCCCTGGTTGGTCCAAGGAAAGGAGTCGAGGGTCTGTGGATGAAGGCACTGATAAGAAAGTCTCCAGAGATAGAAATGAAGATGGTTGGGACACTCAGTTGGCAGAAAGTCTCAAAGGTTTAAACTGGAATATTTTGGATGTAGGGGAAGTTAGGGTTGATGCTGACATTAAAGATGGGGGCATGATGTTGTTAACAGCTTTATCTCCCTATGCCAACTGGCTTCATGGTAATGCTGACGTAATGCTTCAGGTAGATCAAATCAATATTGCCTTTTAATGGGTCAAACTTTTTGTAGCATATTTTAGAAAAAAAAAGAAGTTTGAGCTTGTATCTTTAAGGGATTTGATTAGGAATAACTTTATTAATGCAAGTGAAAATGTCTTAAATAAATAGGTCAGAGGTACAGTTGAACAGCCAGTGCTCGACGGATCTGCATATTTCCACAGGGCAACTGTATCTTCACCAGTGCTCCGCAAACCATTCACAAACTTAGGTGGGACGGTTCATGTGAATTCAAATAGGTTGTGCATCATTTCATTAGAGAGTAGAGTCAGCAGAAAAGGGAAGCTGTCAGTGAAAGGGAATCTGCCCCTCAGGACAAGCGAAGCATCTCTTGGTGATAAAATTGACTTGAAATGCGAAGTCTTTGAAGTACTGGCGAAGAATGTCCTAAGGTCTCTCTCTCTCTCTATATATATATATATATGAATTTTATAATTAATTAGTTCTGGCTTTTGGCAGCATCTATTTTGATTTAGTTTTGGGTGAAATGATGTGATGCATGCCTTTTGATACATCTTAGTTTTCTTTTTTATTGTACGTTTGGGTTTTTGATTTTTTCTTCTTCTTGAAGCCCAAAAATGTTGGCCTTGCTCTGGTAATGATGTTTGCGTCTTTCTCTTTGAGATATTAAACTGCATCTGTTTGCTCTGAAACTTTTATTTGCCATTTCTTTTCTCATTTGTATGTTGTTGATGGAGAACTAACATATCTTATTAAAATTGCAGTGGTCAGGTTGACACTCAATTGCAAATATCGGGCTCCATATTGCAACCAAACATATCTGGGAAGATTAAATTGAGCCATGGAGAGGCATATTTACCGCATGATAAGGGTAGTGGAGCCGCTCCTTTGAATAAAATGGTATCAAATCAATCAAGTTTTTCAAGTGGTGGTTACAATCGGGTGGTTGCTTCAAAATATGTTTCACGGTTTTTCACCTTTAAGCCTGCTGCTTTAACAGCTCCATTCCATCTGCCTCCAGGTAAGTTGACTGTGTAATGGGAACCTTCTACCTCATATTAGGTGCCTATTACCTTGATAGAATTCAAAATCAGTTTCAATTAGATGTGAACTGGGATTTGTGGTTTGTGGTTTGTGGTTCGAACTTCTAATTCAGTTTAAAAAAAAAACTCTTAAAAAATGTTCCTCTGGGCTTTGGGATGTAGTTAAAAGGGTAAGTGTAAGAGAGTTTTTTTTCTTCTCAAAAAGTGACCCTTTTCGAGTATTTATAAAGAGCCTCTTACCATTTCAAGAAACTAAACCATTTTTAGACAGTTTTTCTGATATTTGATTTTGTTATGTAATGATAATTCCCAATGCTGTCACTCTGATAGTCTGTAGTTATAACAGATAAATATGTTAGCTGGTAGAAAGCTTTGAACTAATGATGTTTATGTAAAGGTTACTGCTATATTAGACAAGAATACAATTATACAGAAAGAGTACGTTAATTAACAAATAACTTTTTTGGGGATTTTTATGTGTTTATTAATCTAAAAATCCTAACACATTGGTTGACAGGCATCATTTGGAAGTTCTGGTGGTTAGTTTTTGAACTATATATGTTTGGATGTACATATAATATATATTTTGTCTCTTTATGTAGATCATTGAAAATTTCAATTTCTTTCAATTTTTTAATTTTTTGTTACATCTTATATTCATTAATCAATTTGACCAATGAACTAATAATTTGGCAATCAAAAATTAAAATTAAAAGAGAAGGAAAAATCTAATCTATTTTGGTGCCAAATTAACAAAAAATTATTTGGTGGTCTTGGGTTAGCTCCATGTGGTGCCCCAACTTGGTTCTCATTGGTCAAGACAGTGGGACCCAGTACTTTTTGTTTGGTTTATGGGGGACAACATGACATGTGTCATGTGTTGAATGGTGTGGAGCATTGCTCCTAGACCACTAAAGAATCACTCCAAATTAACTGTATCATAAATGAACAAAGTAATTCATAGTTAAAGTTTTGGGTTTCCTTATTCATATTCTTGATCAATTGGGGAATGATGTTGATCAGTGGAATATAGTATGTATATATAGAAGATGAAAGAGTTTGCTCTTTTTTCTCAATCTTTATTATTTTCAGCGTTTGCTTTTTTTTCTCAATTTGTATTATTTTCAGCTTTGTCGTTTATATTACAGCTTGAGTTAAATATATACACCATGAATCTATTTCTGGTCTATTATATCCAAAAATTAAATTTTTTTTGGAATTTAAATATTTTTTTTAAAGAAGAATAAATTAAAAGGTTTGATTCAGGTGTCTTTTGTGATTGACTTTGTCTTATCAATCAATATCCATAGTATATATCCTACTTTTTTACAAGAGTGGGGTTGCTTTCCTAACTTTGCTGCCTAAAGAAAATAGATTTGTAAATTATGCATAGTTATTGGAACACACTAGAACCGGGTATTTTAATTCAGTTCTAACTTTGATTATATAGCGTATTTATGCCTCATCTGTTTTTTCTGATTTTCTATTCAATATCATTTGAGATTGAAGTGTTCGTGTAATATTCTATTTCTAATTATTTACTTTTATGTCTGGTCAAGTTCTTGCCTACAAAACCTATGTCATGTTTCCTTTCAAGTGTTTCAGTCATTCAGTGTGTCCTCAAATTTTCTTCCCCTCCCAGTATGTTACTTCTTTATTGCTTGTTACTTGGGATAAACCTTGGTCCTTTAATAAATCAGTGATTTGGCGTTGAGAAGTGTTTTGGTATTGCACTAAAACAATTTTGTCCCTGTGAACTGTGGCTTCAAATTCTCAGAACATTTTTCATGGTGGCTTCCTAGTTGCCGAAGGGGGCATCTAACTATTGTAGATTATTGAGGTGGCTTCTGTAATAAATATTCGACATTCTCAAAATAAATTCTTGATCATTTTACAGGTAAACAGGGTGAAGTGGAAAAGGAAATGGGTCAAGTAAATAGCAAGCCAAAATTAGATATCCGTCTTACTGACTTAAAGCTTGTTCTTGGGCCAGAGTTGAGAATAGTTTACCCTTTGATTCTCAATTTTGCTGTTAGTGGCGAGCTTGAGTTAAATGGCATGGCTCATCCCAAATGGATAAAACCTAAAGGCATTCTTACATTTGAGAATGGTGACGTAAATCTTGTTGCAACACAGGCAAGTATTTTTTATCCTTAGGTTACTCAAGTAGTTTGATCTGTCAGTTGCATGGCTTGTCCTCTTTTGTTTTTGTCTTCTGGGATGGCATGCGATTGTTGTTGAATATGCTCGTATTGATCTTTCCAAATTTAGGTAAGACTAAAGCGGGAGCATCTGAATATAGCAAAATTCGAGCCTGATTATGGACTGGATCCTATGCTAGACTTAGCTCTGGTTGGATCAGAGTGGCAATTCAGGATTCAAAGTCGAGCTAGTAATTGGCAGGAAAAATTGGTTGTGACCTCGACACGTTCTGTGGAACAAGATGCCCTCTCACCTACTGAGGTAACATTCTAGTTGTCAATATCCTAAATTCTTTGATTATCTTGAAGCAGTCAGTTATAATTTGAAGTCATAATGCAAGTGCTAAACACTTTTTTGTATGTAATTCAGTGTTTCTTTCTTTCCCTTTTCACTGGAGTAGACAGATGCATAAATCTGACAGTCGATGCATGTCCATCCATATCTATACACAATTCACCTACATACATATTAAGCTTGTGTTGTATAAGTTTCCTTTATATGCTGCAGTAAATTCTAAGCCAATACCTATCACTGTTGTATAGTTGCCCTGGACTTGATTCGTATTTTTTGGCACATAATCTGCTAGATCAAGATGTCTATATAACCAATGGGGCTAGCCTGTTTGGCCTGAACCTCTTTATTTCACTAGAAGGTCAGTGGTTCGAATATCTCCACCTGCATGTGAGTTTTATTCCTCGTTATTTGTTGAGGGTTCCTCTCTTCGACTTTGGGAGTTTCTTTGTATATATTATGTGTTGTATTTGATCTTCATAAATATCAGTGTAATTCATTGTAATATTATATATGAATATAAAATAAAGTCTGTATAATATTTTTTTGTATGTCCTGGACATGAACTTGTGTCGGTCTGAATTTAGCAGTTGTTCCTGATTCCACAGGCTGCTAGAGTCTTTGAGAGTCAATTGGCAGAGTCCATCTTAGAAGGCGATGGCCAGCTTGCATTCAAGAAGCTTGCTACTGCAACACTCGAGACATTAATGCCAAGAATTGAAGGGAAAGGAGAGTTTGGACAGGCTAGGTGGAGGCTAGTTTATGCACCTCAGATCCCTAGCTTGCTTGCTGTCGACCCCACTGTTGATCCTCTTAAATCTCTAGCCAGCAATATTTCATTTGGTACAGAATTTGAAGTTCAGCTCGGGAAGCGCCTCCAGGTTATCATTTATGCATTATTTGTCTGCTTGAAATTTTTATTTTTTGAAATACCCACTTTTGTATTGTTCAAGTGCTGTTTTTTCAGAAAAATACAATTCATAAAAGGTGTTTGCTTCTAAAAAATGGAAAGAGAATTTTAGGTGAGAAAAAACTTGACAAAGAGCTGAAGACTAAATTCATAAAGTAGTGTATGATGCTATGAAAATGAATAATAGTAGTATGTTTAACATATCTGCATTATGCCATAGAGGCAATGGTTTCGGGATTGAGTTTGTGTGTACATAGTCCATCAATTTTGTCATAATTACATCCATTGCAATTAACGTTGCTACTTTGACAGTACTGCAATTTCAAGGGTTGTTAGAGAACACCATTTAAGTGCTTAATTCTAAAAATTTCAAGTTCACATGTTTTCTAGATTCTTTTCTTTTGTTCTTTTTATTTATTTTTTGATAGTCAAGCAATGGGATTCAAACCCTAGTATATATTACATATTTTGCCCCCTACTAGGCTCAAAACATCGGTTAGGATAAATGCTGTGAAAAATCTTGTTTTTTCGAGGAAAAGAAGTCTGTTGAATGGGTGGGTGAGATTGTAATAGAATTGTGGCCGGGCCACATTATGCCTTAATTTAGGCCAAGTCAATATTGAAATTTTGATAAGAACACAAATTATGCCATTATCTTTCTCTCTATTGCTCATAATCATCTGAGATGCTTTTTTATGCTCTTTCAGGCCTCTGTAGTACGGCAGATGAAGGATTCAGAGATGGCAATGCAATGGACATTGATCTACCAGCTTACAAGCCGCCTCCGAGTGCTCCTTCAATCTGCTCCGTCCAAACGCCTTCTTTTTGAATATTCTACTACTTCGCAAGATTAACCTTCCAGGCATCTCAAATGCATCTTTTTTTTTTCTTTTTTTTCAAATTATCTAGATTTTATGTTCTTTTTTATGCTCTCTTATTTTTTTTGCCCTTTTTTAATTCTCTCTCTCTCTCTCTCTCTCTCTCTCTCTCTCAATTTTTGATGGGGTTGGGAGGTTGGTATAGAATGTAGGAGTGGATATTGTATGTATATATCTCTTATTTACTTTGCTCAGAAAATGAATGAGCTTGTTTGTTTGTAAGTACAGAACATCCATTATATGTCAATAATTTTCCTTGCTCAAAATGGAAATGAGCTTTGTTTTATGAGTCCATTCAATCTCTATGGAAGTTGTTTTTATCCAACACGAAAAAAAATTGATAGCATAGATGGATTCATTTATTTATTTTGAGAGGAAGCATAGGGAATTTTAATTCCTTATAGAGAGCATGGAATTAGAGACCATTTGGTCCTTATGAATTTCAAGGGAACGACTGCCTCAATGAATTTCTAGTTGGATTAATTTCCTAGAACTTCTAATACTTGGTAATGTTCTTGTTTTATTCTTTTCTGTTTCTGTTGGTAGTTCACCTTTTTTTTTTTTCTTGCTTTAAAAACGAATTTTCATTCCTCCATCATCTCTCTCTCTGTCTCTCTCGCTATATATATATATATAAACTGACTAAGAACATATCCGAATAACTATAGATTTGGGGACCAAAAACTCGGATTCGTGCCAAACTTGAAGGAAAGTTGTTCTACGCGTCAAGGGCTACAAATCTATCAGAAAAGAACTCATTTGCACTATTATTTTGATTCTAAGGTGGTTGTGCTTGAATTTTTCCTAATCCTGGATGCATATATGCACTGCAGAGTAGAAGCAAACTTTAGTTTTGTGCGATGATTAGATTATTATTGAACCAAATATAGGCTAGGACTTTGATTCGATTATTATTAACCAAATGTAGGCTTGGACTTTGACTGGTTATTTGAAAATGTATGGAGTTGCTACCTAACAAGTGTTTGAATGTGTTGGGGCACGCAGCCTAATCCATTGGAAAAGTCTTGTTTTTAAGAAAAATATAAAAAAAAAGCATAGTAGTTTCATAAGAATTGGGGTTTACTAACCCCACTGTGAGTTTACTAACTCAAAATATGTGATTCTCTTGAAATAGGACAATTTGTGGACAAGGAAAAGCAAAAGCAAAATTAAAGAAACTTACAATTGCATTTCTGGATTCCCATGGCAAGAATGGAGGAGAAGATGAGTAAGATTAGGAGGATGAAGCGAATCAAGAAGAGTGTGATGGACGAGAAAATAATGCTGACAATGATGCGTAGTAGTTTTAATGGCGTTTGTGGAGAGCCACGGCCTTGTTGCTGGATCTATGTATAGACCAACCTCATACTTGAATGTGTTATGGATTTTGTGGATGTCCAAATATGTTTATTAACACTTCATGCTTACTTTTGGGAGTTTAATATGAGATTACCTCTATGTAGAGTCTAGTTTTCATGATTTTTGGTGTTATCATAAATATAATCTACTCATCTTAATTAGTTTTCCATGTTTTTTTGGCGAATCAATTCTTCTCCAAGACAGTTGCCGATTGGTTTGCCCAGCTGTGGAATGCAAAACTCAACCTAGCAACCTTGGAACCTTTATGCTCTGTTTGGTTGGGAGATTTGGAAAGGGATTTGGAACGGGAAAAGGAAAAGATGTGTGAAACTATGTGAAATATAGGTATGATTTATTCACATTTCACCTACCTTTTCCATTTCCCTTTCCAAATCCTTTCTCAAATCCCCCAACCAAACACAGCATTAATATAGCTGCAGTGAACCTAGTAATCTGCAGCAATGACATCTCCCCAGAAGAGGGGGATCATCTAGTCCGAAGCACTAAAAAAAAATGAAAAATAAATAAATAAATATGCCAATTAAGTTAATGATAAGTAATGAATGAAACACCAGTTAAGAGAGGGAGTTGTGAAAACCATTCAAGACACGCACAAGGAAGATTTTGAAACACCAGTTGGAGAGGGAGTTCTGAAAACCAAGACATTGTTGAGTAATCGTGCACCTACATCAAGTGTAATCAAACTCTACCTTGTATATAGCATTCAACATTAAAAAAATGTAAATTTCAAATAGGATTTTGAAGCTCAAAGATCGATCAATTTGAGAAAAGTTGTGGCCCCTAAAATTTAATTGGAGTAAAGTGGTGCATTAAATAAACAATAAAGAAACATTTTGTAAGGTCAATTTACTAATGATCAACTTAACTATCAATTGAAAGAGCAATAACGCATAGTTGACGACCCACATCCCATCTTCAAGTACAAGTAAAAAAAACACTAAAACCCTTTGCACTTGTTTTTTAATCAAAAAAAAATTTATGTAACTTTTATTTTTTATTTTAATATGTTTGGTTGAACACACAAATTTAATGTGGTTGATGTTTTGGTATCCAAAGGAAATTTTTTATTTTAATATGTTTGGTTGAACACACAAATTTAATGTTGTTGATGTTTTGGTATCCAAAGGAAATTTTTTATTTTTAATATGTTTGGTTGAACACACAAATTTAATGTGGTTGATGTTTTTGTATCCAAAGGTTTTAGGAAATTCAAGCAAGAGTCTTGTTTTGATGATCCGAACCATTTTGTAACACCCTGAGTGTATCATTCAAGGAAAAAATTAGCTTACTCTGACAATCATAACATTTTTATTTTATTGCGTTTGTCCTTGAAAAAGATGACAAGTATGTTTTTAAAAATACTCTTTTTTTTCTTGAGGCAAACACATAAAATAAAAAGACTATGATTGTCTGATCAATCTAATAAACTGATTTAGATCATCAAAACGAGATCCGAACCCACCATGGATCTCTCAAGTTCCCTCAAGTTCAAATCTAAACTTGCTAATGAAACATGAGGTGATTGACCAAATGGAGAAGCATGAAAATAGAAAATTTAGGGATTCAAAATAAACACCATTTAGCAACAAGATGAATCTCATATAATAATAAACCCAAAAATAAATAACATTAACAAAAACAAATAAAAGAGTGTAACAATGTATTGCTTATACAATAAGAATGTGAGAACCAAAAAACCCTTTGGAAAAACCCTAATGATGTGTTTGGTTGAGGGATTTAGGGAGGAATTTAGAAAGGGAAAAGAAAAATATGTGTGAAACTAAATGAAATGTAAGTATATTTTATTCACATTTCACCTAACTTTTTCTTTTTTCTTTCCAAATCTCTCCTCGAATCCCTCAAACAAACACAGCGTAAAGCAACCAAGAGAAGCTTAAAATTGGGCTATTGTATATCACCGTAAAATGAGAACAAAATCACTGGATAATCGGACAGAAATTGCCACCATAATCCATGAGAGAGAAAGCCTCTAGGAGTCGATGAGAGACAGAGAGAGTGTGTTTATTTAAAAAGGGGATCCAACATTGGTTTTGTTCCAAAAATTGGGAGGAAAAATTTGACTAATGTTTCTACCCCTTAAATTTTTACTCTCAAAATAATTAGTCTTTTTTAAAAAATTTAATTTTTTTGTATAATTATTACATTTTAAAAATATTAATTTTTTTAAAATTACTCTTTGATAATATATTTTTTAAAAAATATTAATTATCATAATTGTACTTTTTATATTATTAATGAATTTAAGAAAATGATAAAATAAGAAATTTATAGTATTTGAGTCCTTAATCTTTGAGAATGAACTAATATTTTAGGGCAATAAAAAATAAAATAAAAAACTAATATTTTAGGATGGAGAAAATAATAATTTCATTAAAACCATGAACAATATTATAGATCCATATTTTTATATCCATAAATTCATCCAATGTATGATAAGAAAGTTGAGTCCCATTTTATTAGGTGGGTAACAAATACATATCCGGCCATATCATTGTGACACCATTGTGAAAACTTTTTGAAAGTTTCAAATATTTTCCTAAAAACATATGTCTAAACATCGTTAGATATTTAAATATCATTATTTTTTTACAACCAATTAAATTTAACTTCTTATATTTTTAATAAGATTTTTAGTATATTTAGAATTATTTTGGTGCAAATAACATATTATGTGAAAATAAATTTCAAAATATAATCTTGTGAATTGTTTAATCCTTCCTTCTTTTTTTTTTTTATTTATAAAATCAAAGGTCCCATTAAAGTAGAAATCATACAAAATAATAATCATTTAGGCGCCGTTTGGTAACACTTACGTTTCAATTTTCTATTTATATTTACAAATATTTTAAAAACTCAAATAAAAACTTGTTTGGTAAATTTTTGATTTATAAATCAATTGTCTCAGTTTATAAATTTGGCCAAAAAATGTAAACTCAAAAAACGTGTTTCCATTTTGAGTTTTCAGTTTTTTTTTTTTTTACCACCCAACACTAGCGACCACCCGCCACCATTTTCCACCATCGTTTTCCACCACCACCAGCTACCACCCACCTGCTACCCACTCGCCACCACCACCCACCCCTCGCCACCGCCACCCACCAACCTACCACCACCATCACCACCCACCCGCTACCACCCGCCACCGTTTACGACCCGTAAGACGACCACGGCCACCTACCACCACCACCCTGTCACTCGCCACCCCAGCCTGCCCACACACGGGTCCCAACACGCCCAACGCCACCGACTAACCACCATCACCACACCGATAATCCCTGGATCCCGTAGAGATCTATACAACACTAACACCACACATACCCCACCTGCCCTCACCACCCACCACCCCACACCCGCCACCGTCACGCCTACCACCCACCACGCCCACCACCCACCCACTCACCGCTTCTCCACCCACCACCCCACCACCCACGCCACCAGTTACCCACCCACCCACCACTACCACCACCCACCCGTCACCCACTGCCACCACCACTTACTCGCTACACCCGCACCACCCGCCACCCACCATCGCCACCTCCCCACCCCCCACACCACCCCAGCCACCACACCCATCCGCCACCTCCCGCCATTGCCACCCATCCGCCACCACCACCACACCCACTCGTGTACCATCCACCCCGCCACCGTTACCCACCCACCCACCACCACCCGCTACCATCCACCACCCGCCACGTACCCACCCACCCACTACCACCACCAGCCCACCCGCCAACGTCCCTAACCACACCACCAGTTTACCACCTTTCCACCGCCGTCTTCCGCCGCCACTTGCCGCCACTTGTCATTTCTCCCACTTTTTTATATTTTTAAATTTTTTTAAACATTTTGTCAATTACCAAATACGTTGTAGTTTATGTTTTTCTAAAAATAAACAAAAAATAAATAAAAACCAATTTATAAAATTTTTGTAAATATAAACTGAAAACGTAAACGTTACCAAACATTTGGATTTAATTTTTAAAAGATAAAAGTGAGTTTCTCTAAATGTAAAATTACACATTTAAGTAATCTGCACTACAGAAGTTTTAGATTTTCACTCATTTTGGAACAAATCTCACATTACGAACAAAAACGTAATAATTCAATATAACACTTCAATAACGTAATACTCCAATGTGACACACTAAAAAACTTAGTGTACTTTTTCTAAACGTAACGTAACACTCCAATATAACACACAAGAAAACTTCTTAGTATATTTCACACTCCAATCAATGTAATCCTTAATGTAACACACAAAAACAATAAAAAATTTCTTACTGTACTTTTTCCAAACATAACACTCACAGTTTGAAATTATATATTTGCCTAAAACTTAGAGCTTCGTTTGGGAAGTGGGTTTGCATTTTGGCTTTTTGACTTTTTGGCTATTTTAGCCTGGAATAGAAAGTCTCGTTTGGGTTAGACTTTTTAAATTTTTTGACTTTTGTAAGAGAAAAAGTGAAATGATTATGATTTTGATGTGACATTTTATGTTTGATTTTTAACATATTTTATCTTTTTATGACTATTTTAGCCTTTTAGCCCCTGACTTTTACATGCCAAACGACGGCTAAGGGGTTTTTGTACTCTTTTTGGAATGGTTTGAAGAATTTCACATTTTTTTTTGAAGTATTACATTGAAATGTTACGTTTAGAAAAAATACACTGAGGCGTTTTTTTGAAGTGTTACATTTGAGTGTTACCATTTGAAATTATACATTTGCCTAAAACTTACTAAGGAGTTTTTGTACTCCTTTTGAAATGTTTAAAGAATCTCACATCTTTTTGGAATGCTTGAAAAATCTCATATTTCTAGTCATTTTTATACTCCTTTTGAAATGTTTTCTAAATAAAAAAGATTTATATATAAAAATTCATCTCAAATTTAATTTTTATAAATTGTGTATTTTACCTTTCTAACCAAAATAAATAAATAAATGTATAACCATAAATTTAATTTCTAAATGATATATTAAATCTACCTTTTGAAAATCAATGAAACTAATTGGTTTATAAGAAAATCTTTTCCTCGAGATGGGATTTATAGGTAAATTTTTCTAAAATATTGGGTCCTAATTTTTCCGTTGAAAATTTTAAAATGAGATGCAATGCTTAATTAATTTTTTAAAAAAATACCAAAAAAAAAAAATTTATTCACATTTGATCATTCTAATAATATAATTTTTTATTTTTTATTTTATCAATTTAAATTTTTAATTTTTTCAATCTAAACCATATCTTTTTCTATTAAGTAAAATTGATGAAAAAAAATATTTTAATTATTAAATTCAGTGAAAATAGATTAAGAGAATTAAGAATGAATATATTCGTAAATATGTGGGAGTAGCACCAATCGAAGATAAGTTGAGAGAGAATAGATTAAGATGGTTTGGTCATATACCACGGAGACACAATAGTGAAGAGATGTGATACAGTGACGGTAGATGGAAGTGTTAAGGGAAGGGACAAACCTAATTGATGTGGGCAAGTGTAATAAATAAAGATATGAATCTTTATAATTTGACTAAGCAAATAGAGAAGAAGAATTCATATAACTCATCATATTTAAAGACTTGGTTTGATTTGATTATTAAATTCATTCAAAATGAGTAATAAGTAGAGCGTCTTGAATTTAGGAATATGCATCAATCAACTTAAAAGACTCTCAAGTCTAAATTATCTTCAAAACTAAGTGTATTTATTGGCATTTTGATCTCATCTAGAAATTTATTGAACAGGGTGTTGATCTCGATCATATTGGAGACAAGTACTTTGACTTTTACCATATCTTCATGCATTGACTCTATGATCTCTAATGTTGTAGCCATTGTCAAGGATCAATTACTTTAATATCACTTGTTACATACCTTCTTGTTAACAAAATTAACAAAAATAAAAATAAAAATAAAAGAAATAGGAGAGAGAGAGACTCATTTTGAAGGGAGGAAGAACTCTAATTAGTTCACATAGAGGAGAACATGACCTCTTGTTCTTCACAAATGAAGAGTTCTGATAATAGTTTTCATTTTCCACTTTTATTAATAAATATGATTTATATACAAGGAAACTAAAACATATGATCTAAACCCATGATCCTATGTGATAGGATAACTACCCACTAGTTTACTAGCCCATGACCCCTAGCACTAACTAATATCTAATAAATAATAAAATAAAAATAAATAACATTTTTAATAAAATGATGAGTCTAAGGTATTGATCAATAAAATATTAAATAGTTGTATTTTTTTTTTTTTGGTCAATTGCTAGGAAAGTAATTACATGAGGCTTTATTTGGGAAGTTGGTTAATTTTTTAATCTTTTAACTATTTTAGTCTAGGCTAAAAGGCTTCGTTTGGGTTAGGCTTTTTGAATTTTTTTATTTTTGTGAGAGAAAAAACGAAATGATTATGGTTTGAATGTGAAATTTTATCTTATTGACTTTTTAACCTATTTTATCTTGTCGTGGCTATTTTAACATTTTAAACCCAAAAACCTTTTTGCCAAACAAGGGTTATTACATCAAATTGACTATTAACCCAACAATAACTAAAAAAGCAACAATCACCAAACATAACAACTATCACAATTACATACAACTTATAAACCCAACGTGAGAAGAAATAATCAACTATTGCATACAAACATATAATGGGCATTTAAGAAATGCTTATAGTTGGAGCCAAATAAAACTTGTGTTTGAGTTTGTCATATAATGGGAAAAAATGATTCATATGGGTGTTGCCTTGGTAACCAATTACTCATAGAATTGAAGGCGTCGTAATGGGTTATTCGTTCATAGAGAAGCAAATAACCCATTGAGAAAATACCAATACAACGTTCTGATCACTGTCCATGGAGATAAAAACACCAAGTTCTTCCACCGAATGGCCGCTTGGAGGAAGCAAAGGAATAAAATCAGCATTTTGCAGTTGGAGGAGGGGTCAACAATAACAGAACAAAAAGCCATCCAACAACAATTTGAGGCTCATTTCAAGAATCTTTTCAGCGGAGAACAAGACAACACGAGACCTCCAGAAACTCCCACTCAGTTAGGAATACAAATTTGTGGCGGATGGGTCATGGAGAGCAGCAATTTGTAGTGCAGGAATTACTTGGGTATGTTACAATGCAAGGCACCAGCAAGTAGCGCAGAGATCTACCAAGCTAATCCATCATCCAGCATTAGCAGTGGAGTAAAAGCTTTGCTTTGACGCTATTCAGTGGGCGACAAGACGTGGTGTTCTCAGCATTATAATATACACTTGACTCCCAACAAATAATTTTGGCCCTGAACAATAGTTCTGCATCTAATTGGAATGTATCCACTGTAATTAATGACATATGATATTGTACTGGGTAGTAGGTATTTTAATGTTCTTATTCTATGTAAAGTTGAACGGTCTGTTGTAAAGTCAGCTCACGATCTGACTAGATGTGTAAACGATTTTCTTACTTTATAAATGTCAATGTTTCATATGTGCTCACAAAAATGGGTTATTTATTCTAAAGTGATGGGCTCAAAATGAGTGCTACTAATAGTCTGCACGATGTTTCTTCGGACTCTCCACTCACCTAAATTACTCCCCGCGTATTTTTCTTTGAGCATCTACGGTAATCCCAACTATACTCTTCCTCCAGTAACCCCCTTTCCCAGCTTCCCCAGCCTGTTCCGCCCCCAGCCTTTTCCCACCTTCAGCACCACCCCCCAACCCACCTCCCCCTCGCGCTGTGATCTCCTCTCCCTTACCTCCCATCCCAATCTTACCCACTTCCTCTCTGTCTAAGGGAAAGAAGAAGAGGAAGAAGAAGAGGAAGACGAAGAGGAAGAAGGGATTGCAGAGAGACAAAAGAGGGTGGTAAGCAGTTGGAAGGTGCCAGGGTGGGTCTGGGGAGTGTGGAGAGGGGTTGGTGATGATAGGCAAGGAGGGTCACCGAAGCTCGGAATGGGCAAGAGAGGGTGGCGAACGGGAGTTGGTGGTGGCGCATAATGGCTGGGATAGGAGTATGGTTAGGGTTTAGGTGGCTAGATATGGATATAAAATCAGTATTTTGGGATGGGATAAACTAGTAATAAAAAAAAAAAAATGTAGGGGTGGGGGTCCATGAAAACCTGGTGGGGACAAATAACAATACCTGCTCAAAATCCAAGGAAGAGGAAGAGGAAGAGGAAGAAGGGATTGCAAAGAGGCAAAAGAGGGTGGTAAGCAGTTGGAAGGTGCCAGGGTGGGTCTGGAGAGTGGAGAGGGGTTGGTGATGATAGGCAAGGAGGGTCACCGAAGCTGGGAATGGGCAAGAGAGGGTGGCGAACGGGAGTTGGTGGTGGCGCATAATGGCTGGGATAGGAGTATGGTTATGGTTTAGGTGGCTAGATATGGATATAAAATCAGTATTTTGGGATGGGATAAACTAGTAATAAAAAAAAAAAAATGTAGGGGTGGGGGTCCATGAAAACCTGGTGGGGACAAATAACAATACCTGCTCAAAATCCAAGTCAGTCATTACGTACATATTTTCTATATGGATTTAATATTTATATATCACCACTCTTTGCTATAATTTACAGTTGATAAGCATTCAATCAAGAGATAAGAAAGCAAACTATACTACTGTACACAAATTTTCAGCTCAAAATTCCCAATCCTTCATGTTTGAGTTGAATAGTGTTAAAAACAAACACTCAACTGTCACCACCTGTTAGATCATGCACTGGAAGCAAAAATATAATAAATCAAAAGATTAAGAATGCAAAGTTCATCGCTATGCAATACATAGGCTATGCAAAATCAAGGTATGATATGTAAGTTGATTGATGCCAGTAATTCATTACATGATCTTTACACCACAGCATATTCAAGCTTGATGGTATCAACAAGCAAAGACTTTGTTCAGTTCAGGAAAAACTGTAATCTGACCTACCTGACGAAAAACATCAACCCAGGAAGTGAGAAAGATTACAACTTCAAGCAGCCAAGGGCTACATCCAAAAATAAAAGCTGTATACAACCTAATTGCAACCAAGACACCCAAAAAAAAAAAAAAAAAAAAAAAATTTCCCCAACTTCACAGTTCATATCCACAGAATTGGAAGGGCAGAGCAAAAATATTAATTTTTGCGGCTTCGATTAGGTGATGAGGGCTGGTTCTGTGGAACCAGACGAGGAACCAGAGACTTCACCTGCCACATTCTTGAGTTTCAGAGATGCTGACTCACCAGAAGATCTGGATTCTGACACGGAATCAATGTCGAAAGTGTCCGGAAGATTTTCAGAAGAATCGCCTGTGCAGAGCTGTTAAAAAATAAAAAATAAAAATTTCTTAAGATGTGAATTTATACTGACTAATCCATCTTCCTTTAGGTTGTGTTTGAGTTTATGAGTTTGAAATGAAAGGATTTGGCACTATTCATTCAAGGAGAATAGCTCAAATTCAGATTTAGTAGTTTAGAAATTTGAGAGTTTTGTTGGCATAACGGTGTAAAATAGTTAACTGAAATCCTTCAACGCTAATGGTCCTAATAAAATACTTCTCTTCAATTTCTATTTTATCTTCCCCTTCAGTTTCTCAACCCACCATAGTAGCTAAATCTCCTATATTTCTACAAAATTAAACCTTCAATCCCTTCATTTGAAATCCATCCATTGCCCAAAATTTCCAGTATGTTTAAGTAGAGCTTTCTAAAAATTGCTCCAAAATATTCGAAATCTATCCATCGCCCAAAACTTACAATATATATATATATAATTTTTTTTGGCAACAAGAAAAGAATCTTTTGAAAATGACGACATCTTGGACTTTTAATAATAGCATTTCTATAAGATAATTGTTTCTACTACAAATATAATCAAAGAGAATAATATAGTGCTTCCAAACATAATTTCGGGACATAATTATATAATGCTTGGTGTGATGAATCCTCATCAACTCATCTACAAAGCAGGCATTACATGTCTTTTCCTATAATCACTTATTAGTGACATTCAAGCATGTTTCACACATGTTGCAGAGTCGTAAATATTTTTCAAAATAGATTTGAATATCCAAAAACTCCGCCGAGATTGTTAACAACTCCGCCAGTCCCAAGCCCGGGTTAAAGAGGAGGGTTGTGTGTTAGGTAACCGACAGCTAACACGTAAAAAAACCACTCAGATCCCTTATGACAATGAATCCTACTTTGAATCATTTAAATGCTAGGTCATTCCCCTCACATGACACGTTGCGCTTGCCTCCGGGTGTTTCAAAAAGTGAGCTAGGAGCACCACATCGACACTTGGGTGCAGTGAAAAATAGGCAAAAGTTCCCGCGTTTCTTTTGGCGAGCACGGGTAAAAAAGCTAGTCCAAAACTATAAATTGAGGGTAGCCACTTGGAACATAGGAACCTCAACTGGTAAGACGATAGAATTGGTAGCTTGCGTACAAGAAACTAAGTGGACGGATGAGAAAGTTAGAGAAATTGAGGATACCAGTTTTAAACTCTATTATAGTGGTAAGGATAGACGCAAGAATAGGGTAGGAATCATAATTGCCAAGGGTCTTGTGGAGAATATAGTGGCGGTCACTAAGAAAGAGGATAGGATTATGCTAATTAAACTAGTTATTGGAGAGAATATTGTGAACGTTATTAACGCATACGCCCCTCAAGTAGGATTAGATGATCAGACTAAGAGGGATTTTTGGGAGCAAATGGATGAGATCTTACAGGAAATACCCGTAGAAGAAAATCTGGTTATAGGTGTAGATTTTAATGGCCATGTGGGCATAGATAAACTAGGCTATGAAAGGGTGCATGGTGGATACGGTTTTGGTGACAGAAATGAGGCTAGAGAGAGTATCTTGGATTTTGCGTTGGCTTTTAACCTAGCGGTGAGCAATACTATGTATAAAAAGAGGGAGGAGCATTTGATAGAAAAGTGAACCGTCTAAAATGTAATGATTGTAAGGTGATTCCTGGAGAGAGCCTAGCCTCTCAACATATGATTTTGATACTAGATTTATGTTTTAGAGGGCAATACAAAGCTAAAAATGATGATGGGCGTCGTAGAACGAGATGGTGTGACCTAAAAGGGAATAAACTAGAATTATTTAAGAATCGAATGGATAAGGAAGGTACTTGAGACTTGGAAGATGATGCTAACACTATGTGGAACTCGATGGCCAATTAAATGAGAAGAATCTCAAGGGAAGTGCTTGGAGAGTCGAAAGGAATGAGACCTAGCTTTAGGGAAACTTGGTGGTGGAGGGAAGAGGTTCAAGCGGTAGTTAAGGCAAAAAAATAGTGCTTTAAAAAATGGCAGAAGAATAGAACTGAGGAAAACCTTAAGAGCTATAGATTGGCTAATAAGAAGGTCAAGAAAGTAATGAGAGAGGCTAAGTTGAAAGCTTATGATGACCTATATACTAGACTAGATAGTAAGGAGGGAGAGAAGAGGGTATACAAGCTTGCAAAGATACGCGAGAGGAAAACAAGAGATTTTAATCAAGTTAAGTGCATTAAGAGTGAGGATTCTAAGATATTGGTGAAGGATGAAGAGATTAAAGAAAGATGGAAGAATTATTTTGAGAAACTATTAAATGAGGAACATAGAGGTACGACAATAGGGGAAAAAATAACCAATAGTACAATAAACCAAGACTATTGGTTCTATCACAGGATTAAGAACTTTGAAGTGGAGATTGCACTTAAGAAGATGAAATCAAATAAGGCTTTAGGACCCGATGATATTCCTATTGAAGCTTGGAAGTGTTTGGGTAAAAAAGGAGTTGCTTGGTTGACTAGGTTGTTTAGCAAAATTTTGTTGACTAAGAACATGCCAGATGAGTGGAGGAAGAGTATTTTAGTGCCAATCTACAAGAATAAAAGTGATGTCCAAAATTGCAACAACTATAGAGGAATCAAGCTAATGTGTCATATAATGAAAGTGTGGGTGAGGGTGATAGAACATCGATTGCGAAATATAACAGAAGTGTCAGAGAATCAATTTGGGTTTATGTCTGGCAGGTCAACAATAGAAGCGATCTATCTTTTGAGGAAAGTAATAGAAAAGTATAAAGAAAAGAAACATTCATATGGTGCTTATCGACTTTGAGAAAACATATGATAGAGTACTCCGAGATATAATATAGTGGGTGTTAGAAAAAAAAAAAGGTGACAAAATGTTACATTGATGTGATTAGGGACATGTATGAAGGGGTTGTAACCACTATTAGATCGCCAGCTATAGAGATTAATGAATTTCTTATCACTGTAGGGTTACACCAAGGATCTACATTAAGTCATTATCTTTTTATTTTAGTTATGGATGAGTTGACGAGAAATATTCAGGATGACGTGCCATGGTGTATGCTTTTTGCAGACGATTTTGTGCTAGAAGAGCAGATTAGAGAAGGAGTTAACACAAAGTTGGAGATTTGGAGAAAAGCTCTTAAATCTAAAAGATTCTGGATAAGCAGAACTAAGACAGAGTACGTGGAGTGTAAATTTAGTAACAGTAACAATGAAAACAGATGAGTAGTGAAGATTGAGAATCAAAAACTATCTAAGAGTGAATATTTTCATTATTTAGAGTCGATTATCACAACATCGGGGGAGATTGATACAAATGTGGCCCATAGGATTAAGGCGGGATGGTGTAAGTAAAGAAGTGCATCTGGAGTATTGTGCGATAAACGAATACCCACTAGACTAAAAGGTAAGTTCTATAGAACGGCTCTTAGACTAGCAATGTTATATGGGACGGAGTGTTGGGCAATCAAGAAACAATATGTAGAAAAGATGCATGTGGCTGAGATGAGGATGCTAAGGTGGATGTGTGGTAAGACTAGACAAGACAAAATTAGGAATGAGTGTATTCAGGAATTGGTAGGAATAGCACCAATAAAAGATAAGTTGAGAAAAAATCGATTGAGATGGTTTGGTCATATTCAATGGAAACCAACAGAGGCAATAGTGAAGAGATGTGATGTTGTAACGGTAGATGGAAGTGTTAGGGGACGGGGTAGGCCTAGATTAACGTTGACTAGTGTTGTAAATAGAGATATGAATCTACTTAATTTGACTAATGAAATGGCCTTTGATAGAGCCGCGTGAAGAAGAAGGATTCATGTAGCCGACCCCATTTGATGGGACTTAAGACTTGGTTTGGTTGGTTGGTTGGTTTGTAGATTTGAATATCCAAAATTTGAAGAACTCTAAAACTTGGCCAAAATTTTGTCAGTATAGAATAATTACATTTGTCCTAAAGATTTCACATGCAATATGCAGAATATTGTAGGGTGATCAACAAGCAAACATAATTTGACATCTAGTGACTACAAGGATTCTTCCTTGAATTAGTTGCCAATCAAAGCCATTGTGACACTCCACCATATCACCTCCTATATCCACCGACGCTATTATCAATAGAACAAATCGACAAGACAGAACCAATACAAAACAGCCTTTGCCAATGAATAGGATAAATCAACTACAATAAAGCACAAACAACATATAACATGCTGCGTGTAATATAAAGGGGAAATAACTTGACAGTGGTGCCAGTAATGATAATTAATTACCAAAAGGTGTAAAACATTGTAAATATTAATAATTAAATTATAAAATAGAGATAAAATAAAGATCTGCCACTAAACAAGGTTTTCTGGTGATTGAGGATGAACAAACTACACAATTGGAAATATGTATAAACAACAATATTGCATTGAAATCAAGATAACACCATTACCGTAACAAATACTGTAGACCAAAAACAACCAATTTTAATTACTGCCAACAGAAATTGAACTGAAATAGATAATATCACAGATAGATGGTGTCTCAAGTTGTATAGACCCTCTTAGTTCATCTAATCACCGATCAAAGCACACTGAACACAGCATGAAAGGCATTGGTGTCATCTCAAACTAGAAAGGGAGAAAGGATCCAGGTCTCTTAGTTTATGTTTCCATTTATAAAAGATTCCTTTCCCTAATATTATTTTCCCATCAATTTTCATTTGACTATGCAAAAAGTTGAATGCGCCAGATGTGATTTCTTCAATGTTCTGCCTCGTTTGGGAACATGCTTTTTTAGTAACTTTTTGGCTAAAATATGATATAAAAAAAACTAGTATGTTTGTGATGACTTTTTGGCTTTTTACGAAAAGATGTGCAAAAAGTACAGAGAAAAAGGAATCTTTGACTTTTTGGTATAGGTTGTTGGCTTTTTGGCTTTTTTAGTAATTTTTTGACTTTTTGGCTAAAAAAGCCACTTGCCAAATGAGGTTATATCAGTACCATCATAAAAATGAAAAAAATAATAATAATATTTATAATAGTAATATAAGAAGTTATAGTAGTAGTGGTCCATTTCAGATAGTGCATATAAACAGGCCCCCCAGAAATATGCACATTTCAATTTCCAGCAAAATCCATGATTGAAAGTTGACAACTCCATGATTTAACAGGTAATATAATTACCTCAAGTTGGTTCAACATATCAACCGCAGCTTCCAAGTCTCCATTATTTGCCACGTAGACATCAGAAAGGGACTCCTCAGATAAACCAGGAAATATCATCTGAAGATATGCCAAATCCATGTCAAATTCTTCATCCATCATCTGTTTTTCTGTCATCTCTTTCGTATTTTGTGATGATGAACCATAAGAGCCATGGACAGAGTTTGCCTTCCATGTGTAATCCTCAAGAGTCAGGGTACCATGTCCAACATAGTTTTGAGAAGCTTTGCTTTGGTGCTGGTTCTGTGTTGTATCCTCAGAATGAGGCCCTGACCAGTCAGTCTCATTGCCACTCTTATAACCTTTTGCTGTCAATGAGCAGTCATTGTTTGAATCAGATGAACCTCTTCTTGAAAGTGGTATGTATGACGCTGCATATGGATTCAAGGAAGATGTTCCTGTCTTCATTGGCTCAGTTCATAAAGAGACCACTGTCAAAACGCCTCAAAAACAGAAAAGAGCACATTAGCAGATACAACATGTCATGTATAATATATATAAACTTCAAAACTTCATGCAAATAATAAAGGGGTTGCAGGTTTGAATACGAGGGCAGCCACTTTGTGCAAATAATAACAAATTTTAGGTCTGCCCAATCTATCCCTCCTAGCCCCCCACATCCAATGGGACTAAACTGGGTGTACCATTTTAAAACTGCAAACATTTAATATGCTTAAAATTATTTTTTGCAAGTTAAATGACTAGCTTCTTAGATAAAATCTGGTACAGCTGCATAACAAATTAAAGGACAGTTTTACCTTTCATATCGATGAGTGCCAGCCACAAGGGGAAAAAAATATATATCAAAAATGTACTAACAGGAAAAAAATTAAGGGCTTGTTTGGTTTGTTTTTTAGAAAAATTTTTGGAAAAATTCTCTACAAACAAATTTTCAAGAGTAATCAAACCAAACAAATTTTTTCAAAAAAAATCTCAAAATTTTGTTTGGTTACCTACTTTCCAAATCACTCTCTCTCTCTCATACACATCAAATCAATCACTTTTTTTAATACTCTCTCCTCAAAACAATTTTCCAAAACTATTTCTGAAAAAGGCAAACCAAACAAGTTTTAGTACTTTTTATCTCAAAAAATTACTCTACAAACACAAACCAAACACACCCTAAATTAATGACATGCGTAATACATTTTTCAGTGGAATTTCCAAAGTGGCACCGTTACTTGAACTCATGATTAATTGAACAGTTCAACTAGCATTGTGTAACCTCAATCACAACCAATGGAGATTTGCTGAAGGGCATATTACAGACATATTTGGCTAAGTAGAGCCATCGAAGCTCATGCAGCTCATGCATAATAAATAAATTCCCGACTGTACATAGAAAACCCATTTCATAGTCATTTTCTTGCCATTGAATTGTTAGACAATCCACATGTCAACTGATAAACAACAAAATTTGTGATCCAAAACAAGTACAAGCTCCACACATATACCCACACAAAAAAAACGTAATATAAACTTTTATCATAATCTTGGCCTAATAACCTTGAGTTTATGGTTTCAAGTCTCGGGACAACCACTTTGTGCACTATGCCAAAGGTTAGGTGTGTACCCAAGCTTTCTCCTCCTAAACACACATTAATATGTATTAATTGGGCATTGTTTTTTTATAAACTTTTATCATAGTAAAATCTTGAAATATAACAATCAAACGACACAGGAATCAAGATTAAGAAAAGATAAAGATAAAGAATCCCTACCCTTAGCTACAATTACTCTTAATTATGGAATGCCATAAAGAATTTCACTTAATAGGGAATCTCCACAACTTTTCAAGGAGAGCAATAATCCTTGTCATAAAGTTTCCTACAACAAGTTCCCTTTGTGTTTAGGGAGAAAAACCACCACCCAATTCACCAAGTTGACCCTTTTTCCCTTCATCCATGCCTTCCCACAAGGATTCCGTTATTATTTTATCAATTTTATTTTCTATCCCAATCGGAATCTTAAACAAAGACAAATAATAAATTGGAATGCTACACAAAACTTATTGCACAAAAGTATACCTACCTTAGTTGCACGAAGCGGGAGCGGGAGCAGGAGCGGAAGCGGGAGCGAAAGCGTGGAATCGTAGACATTTCAAGAATCGTTAGTTGAGAGCGTTTGTATATAGTTTAAATAATATATAAAAATATATTGTAAGATAATATTTTTTTATGGGACTATACATGTTATAAATAAATAAGAAGTATAAAAAATTATATGTTAAAATATTCTAATTATATACTTTTATTAGAATTTTTTTAATTTATTCTAAAATATTTTTATTACTTTTTTTATCTATTTATTCTAAAATACTTTTGTTAAAAATTATTTGTTTTACGTTATTTTCTTATAAAAATAGCATAATAACATTAATTCAATAAATATAATATATAAATAAACACACATAAATTTATAAAAGTAATATAAAATATATAAATTAAAATATATATATATATATATATAAGTACAATTTTATATATAATATATAAATAAAAACATATATATATATATATACATATATAAGTATAATTTATAAAAACAAAAACAAAAATATATATACATAATACGTATTATATATATATATATCTTTAATCTGAGAAGAGAAGATCAAAGAGAGAGAGAAGTTGTGAACCACTTGCAAAGAGAGAGAGAGACATCGCGCGCAGACCAGCGAAGAGGAGAGAGAAGTCGCGATGGCCTGTGTGCGACTTGCGAAGACCAGCAAAGAGAGAGACGTCACAGAGACCAGTGAAGACGAGAGAGAAGTCACGATGGCCCATGTGCGACTCGTGAAGACCAGCGAGGAGGAAGGGAGAAGTCTGCGATGACCTGTGAAGGTCTTGCGATGACCCACGATGGAGCTCCGACTAAGAAGACGACAGATTCATGATCAGATTCGTGTTTCTCTAGCATCAAAATCGCGATTCTTCAACGAATTTGAGTTAGAAGCGCAGAATCGCGCTTCTGAGGAAGAATCGTGAGCAGCATGAACGATTCCTGCTATTAAGATACCTACCAAACCAAACCAAGCCTTGTCTTGAGTCCCCACAAAAGTATACCTACATTCTCTAGAAAAAAAAGCTATTTTATTTTTTGTTAAGCTTTAAAAAATAACAAGGTATGAGGTTAAGAGGCATAATAAAAACTGTCATAAAAAGCTTTTATATGGAGGGCTACCCTATGTTGCCTAATCCGTAACATTATGACCCAAACATACTCAAGCATAGGCTACGTTACACGGACGCGGGTATGGGTGCGAGTATCGGGTACAGGTGCATATCTAGGAGTCGAACACCTTAAAACTGAAAATGGAGGGTACAGGGATATGGATCCAAATTTTGATATGGGTACAGTGATACGGTAAATAGTTATTTTTTAAAAATATTTATTAAATTACCATATTAAAAACTTGACCAAATAAGATTTAATTAATTAAATACAACATAAAAATATTTTTAAATAAAGTCATTATCTTTATAATGTCATTATTTTAACAGTAATGGGGGTGAGAGAGAGAGAGAGTCATTATCTTTAAATAAAAGTAGTGAAGTAGTGGTGTGATATTGATTAAGGAACAAAAAAAAAATTAGTCAAAGAGGCTTTATCTGTTAAAAAGAGGAGAGAGAGAGAGAGAGAGAAGACAAATCTACATATAGGGAGAGAAGACAATCTACATATAGGGAGAGAAGACAGATCGAGAGAGAGAGAGAGACAAAAGAACATAAGATCGACACGGGTATGGGTAAGGAAGATGAGATCGAGATCGCACTTCAACTTCGACTTCGCACTTCGAACTCGATCATGTCCAGCAAGCACTTCAGGTCTCATGCTTACTCAATCATGCTTGATGTATCCACTTTCTTACTGCCGTATCCCGACCGAATTCCATACCCGTACTTGTGTCGTGTCGTGTCGCGTCGCGTCGACATGGGTACTCTACCCTAAACCGGCAATTCCATGTAACATAGAGCATGGGAATACCCTTTTGTGAGCTGTGACAAACTCTATTCAGAACCTAATTCAAGATTACAAATACCTTCGGCACACATAAACCCAATCGACGAATGAAAACAAAAGTTCATATACAGAATCTCATAAAGAAAAATTATCAATAACAACGTTAGCCCAAAGAATAGCAAAACCATGCAGAGCCACCCAGACATGCATATAAAGATATCCATATAAATCAATTTAGAGTACAGAATTCAGGACCAATTTATACCTCAAAAAATTAACCAGGTCACACAGGTTAATCCAGAGTCCAGAAGATCAACTAAATATTCTTGAACAAATGAAAAGTTCATAAACAAACAGATCAAATATACATCAAACACTTGATTACCATACGTAATATATTTTTGCTGTAATGGGAAAGTTGATCTTGGTATAATTGCAATAAAAAACTGTATAGTAATCAATATAATATTAATCTAATTCAATGTGTATGTCTGTATAAATATACATACATATACAAAACACACGCAAAAAAAATACATACATATGTACAGGCACACTAATACAGATTGAAAGTCACCAAACCATACACAGTGATTCAAACCAAACGATCTTCGGAGACGCAATTTTGAGTATGTGTATATAACTAAACAATTGATTGATTGAGGAAACCTAGTTTCATTTTCTGATAAAATCAATCGGATTTACGCTCAAATTATCAACGCTGATCTTGACATTTTCGTTTCAAGAAATGAGAGTCAATTTCGCCATAACAACAATCGATACAGATATACGAAACAAAAACAAAGAGAGAGAATTATAGAGAGAGAGAGATGATCACCGCAGAGATGAATATGGGATCAAAACTCACATGTAGGAAAATGAGGATTGATTGGTGATGAGAACCTCTGAAAACCCTAATTTCTCGATCGCTCGAGTCCGAAGGAAGCTCCTCGCTAACACTCTCTCTCTCTCTCTCTCTCTCTATTCTTTTTCTCTCTCTCTGAAGCAAGAAAGTGATGCAACCGAAAAAGGCAAAGGGACCTGGATTTTAACATGACATATTTTATGTAAATTACATTGACACCCCCTTAAACCTTTAAAATTACACTGACACCCCCTTAAACCTTTAAAATTACATTGACACCCTTCTATTCTCTGAAAACAACATTTGGTTCCTATTTTCAAGATTCACCTCAGAAAATTAAAAAAAAAAAATTTCATATTTTTTTTTGTTTTCACTGAAATTTTAAAATATTCTAAGTAACTTTTTTTAATTTTTAACATAAATACATTTAAAAAGTATAATATTTATGAAAACAATCTTTAAAAAATTCACTAAATACCAAAAATATTAAAAAATACAAAAATTCAATATATTTTTAAATTTTTGTGTATTTATTGATTTTTTTAAATATTATTGTACAAATATTTTACTTTTTAAATATATCTAAGTAAGTTACATCCAAAAAATAAAAAAAAAAAATTACTTCAAATTTTAAAAATATTTACTAAAAACATAAAATTTTAAAAATTAAAAAAAAATTCAATTTTCAAAAAATTAAATCTAAAAAAATAAAACCAAACACAATCCTTGTTTTGTATTTTTCAGATAACAAAATCCCCCTTTTCAATAATGTTTTACACAATCATACATATAGTGTTTATAAATTATTTACATTTTTAATACAACTCCAAGACCAAAACATCACATCATTAATGGCGGGACCCACTACCACCTAATTAGTGGGAGCACTAATTAGTACTCCCAAGCATTTTTCTTCTTTGTCCTAATTATAAAAAAGAAAATTCTATTTACACTACATAATAAACTCCTTACGCCCATTTACTTTTTACATCATTCTCAAAAATTTGAAATTTTAATTTATTCCCATTACACCTACAATAATACCAATCTTCTTAAATCCAAACCCTAACCCCACTCTCAATCACCACCTTCACCACCACCATCATCATTATCGCCTCTGGCAGTCATCCCAGTACCTCCCTACCAGTGATCGCCCTCCTACAACCTCCGACTACCACAACCCCCATTCCTCTTCCCTCCTCTTTTTTTCTTCTTCTTCTTCTTCTTCTTCTTCTGTTTCTTTTCTTATTCTTCTAGATTTAGATTCTCTCTTTCTCCCTCTGAAATCTAGGTTTTCTCATTTTCTTCTTCTTATTTTTTGTCTTCTTCTAGATCTGCTCTCTCTCTCTCTCTCTTACAGGCGATGGAAGTGGGCGAAAAGGCTGAGTAGTGATGGCGATAGTAAGATGAATTGCCAGTAGGGAAGGGGGAGAAGAATAAAAGCGCAAATCAAAAGCCAAAACCCAAAAACAACAACGGCGGCAAGGTAATCAACAAAACAACTTGTTTCTAAATTTGTTACCAAACCCTAATTCCAATTTTGAAACTTAAAATCCAAGCATGAACCTGTCAATTCTTCATCTTCCAAAGCCCTAACCGATGAGCCGAAGATCAACGAACTCAATCTCCCCAAGCAAGAAGTCATTCGCCACCTCCGATTGCTCAAACAATCGGTTACGTTGTTTGGGTTAGATGATAAGGCGAGACTCGATTGATTGAAGTACGTGTTGAAGGGTAGGTTGTTTGAGGTTGATGATAGTGATATGACTGAAAATGATGAAAAGATGTGGTTGGCGGTGGGAAATGGAGTTGATGGTGGAGAAGAAGGGCTAAAGGTTAGTAGTCGGAGGTGGCAAAGTCGCCGAGATGGAAGAAGGAGTCACCGGCGGCATTAACAGTCGTGGTCATCGATGGAGATTGTGAGAAAAATGTTGGTGGGCTAGAAATTAGGGTTTTGAGGAATTTTTTGATAATTTTGAATGAAGATAAAATTATAATATAAAAAATGGGTATTTTTTCATAAATCTATTTTCACCTACTTATGTTCCATTTAATTTACATTATTTTCTTATGTTCCAATAAGTCCTATGGGTGACATAATTATCAAAATATCCCTAATAATATTCACATTTACAGTATGAATATGTCAACATGAATATTCATACCGTAAAATATGAATGTTCACATCACTAAATTGCTAACCGTTCAAAAAATATTTATAAGGATAGAAATATCCATAATATACCTTAAATATGAGAATTAGGATTTGATATATCAAATGTTCAAATAATAAGATTTATTAAAATACAAAAATATCTTATGAACTAATTGAGATATAAACACATGAAAAATAAATTTTTTAATAAATCTCCCTATAAAAAAAAGAAAATTATGAGCGTAAAAGAGATAAAAAGGTGGTACAAGTAGAAAAAATATTGGAATGCATGTTATGTCATTTTGTATTCAAGAAAGGACAAATACTCAATAAATTCTACTTTCTCAAAGAAAAAATAATAAAGTCTTATCAATTTTCTACTTGAACAATTCAGTCCTATATTTAATAATTTATTCCAAAATAGTTCAAAACTAAAATAATAGGGAAAATTTTATTTTATTTCCCTATGATATGACTTAATAACACTTTATTCTACTGTCTTTTAAAAATAGTCATATATCCCTATGACCTCGTTTGTTTTGGGAGATAAAGGTGAGATTGAGATTGAGATAGAGGTGAGACCTACTATATATTGTGTTTGTTTTGGGAGATAGAGAGGGAATTCATAATGTCATAAGATTAGAATGGGCCTTGGTGTTGGGATTGAGATGGAGGGGTGGAGATGGTATTCGGAAATTAGTCCTATGGGATTAGGCTTTTTTATTTTTTATTTTTTTTATTTACATGTTGGGCATTTTTTTTATTTAACATTAATGTTTAATGTTTTTGTATTTTTTGTTAATTAAAAATTATAATTTTATTTGTTTTAATATTTTATATTTCTTTTATAGAGTAATAATTTAATAATCCCCACATTAACAACTACAATCAAAACAAACACAATTTTATTTAATCCCTCACTATCAATCCCTTCCATTCTACATCTGAAAACAAACAGGACCTATGTAATTTTGTATTAAAATACAAGCTTAACACCATTAATGTTAACAATAAAAAGACAACTAGACTCTTTTTATGGCTTATTCTTCTATTTTTAGTTGTCTTTGTAAATAAATAAATAAATTTACCTCCATGACTAAGAAAAAAAATTAAAAACATAACACAAAACTAACTTAAGAAACTAGAGTTTCCTAAATACTTTTTTTAATAAACTTAAATTTTTTTATTATTTTATGATTTAATTTAATAAATATATATGTACATGTTTAATTTAAAATATTATTAAATAATAAATTGAGTTAAAAATTAAAAATTAGATTAAGGTACTTTTATGATTTAATTTGTGTTATACATATATATATATATATATATACGTGTGTGTATTATGCATATGTTTTATTTAAAATGTTATTAAATAAAAAAGTGGGTTAAAAATTAAAAATTATATTAACTTATTTTGATGATTAATTTTTATAATAATAAATTAAAGTATTTAGGTTAATTTAATTACGGAGCTTTGTGGGAGCTCCAAAACTTCCAACTAAAATTTTGAATTAAAAAATAATTTTAAAAAATGCTATTGGCTAATATATTAATATAAAAATAATTTTAAAAAATGCTATTGGCTAATATATTAATATAATAATTATAAAAATACTAATTATTCCATGATTTATGTTTTTTAAAAGGGAAATTAAAAGAAACTCTTTCCTATTTTGTGCAAACCTAGTATCTCTTGCAAAATATTTTGGCAAGATGGTTAGAACCCATCTTCAAGCTTTTAACCCATTTTTGATTACATCATCTCTCATATTTTGTACACATTTTTCAAACAAGGTCAAAAAAGTCAAAATGTCAACTTTTAACCATCTTTTCAAAACAACCCAAAAATTCAAAAAGGTCGTTTGGGAAGTTGATTGACTTTTTGACTTTTTGGCTATTTTAGCTTGGGACTAAAAAGTCTCGTTTGGAATTTTTGACTATTTTAACCTGGGGCTAAAAAACCTCGTTTGGGAATGATTTTTTGATTTTTTTGACTTTTCATGAGAGAAATGATATAATGATTATGAATTGGATGTAATTTTTGTCTAATTGGGCTAAAAATCTATTTTGTCTTTTTGTGACTAAAATAATCCTAAATCCACCCAACCCATTCTTCCCAAACGAAGCCATTTTTAGCTAGGTTCTCAAAATTGTATTTTAAATTCTTACATCGAAAGTACATATGTAAGAAAAAATTATTAATAATTAATTATTTATGTTTATTAAAAATATACTTATCAGATTTGTTTGGTTTAATTTTTTATTTTTTTTATTTTTTTGAGTTTTTATTTTTTTTAATCTTCAATAAACTCTTTTTAATTTTCATATTTCAGTTAAATACACCAAACTAAGATATTTATGAAATTTTTTTATAAAAACAAAACACTACAAAAAATGTGTCATTTTTTTTGTTTTTATTTTTGATCTTTTCATTTTAGTGATTTTTTCTTTTAAGTTTTCGTTACAAGTTTTACTTTTTAGGCGCATTTACGATTAGGGCTATTTACATGAAGACCCTCTAAACTATTGAAAAGTATCACTTTAACCCCTTAAACTATAAAAACGTACAAAATTAACCCCTAAACTATTTTGAAGTATCATTTTACATCCTAAACTACAAAACTCTACAAATGGACCCCTAAACTATAAAATAAAAAAAAAATAAAAATAAAAACTATAAAAGTATATCAGTTGGACCCCCTCATGAAAAAAATCAAAGTGAAACATGCCAATAGTGTAGGAGGTTTATTTGTACGATTTTGTAGTTTAAGAGGCAAAATGACACTTCTCAATAGTTTAAGGAATTAATTTGTATGTTTTTATAGTTAGGGGATCAAAATGATACTTCTCAATAGTTTAGGAGTCTTTGTGTAAATAATCCTTTAGATTAGGTGTACATAAAAATTAATAAAAAATGAAACATGATAAAAAAAATTACTAAAGATAAAAAAAAAATGAAAAATAAAAAACTCAAAAAATGTATTTGAGTTTGAAAATATTATGACTTTGCCAGCTTTTCTTTTTTCTTTTTTTTTTCTTTTCTATAGTCAAGTTAAATTATATTTATTAATGAACTTAGTTATAATTTCTTTATAAAATAAATAAATAAATAAGTAAATCACATAGATGAGTTTAGCAAATACATGTGTAATAAGATTACTGGTTATCTTATTATTAATTCTTTTAAGTGCAAATGTTACAAAATTATTATTTTGAATCATTTCAATATTTTGATCATTTCTTTAAATAAAAAAATTTGTACTTTTGAACTAAACAATATTTTTTGGAATAATTTACTTTTAACATTCTACCTATTTACATTTTTTTGGAAAACAATTATAAAAAGATGAACAGTGAGAATATATATATATATATATGCGCGCGCGCGTTTAGAGTTTAAACTCCAACATTTATTAAAAAGTAAAAAATCATTTTCAATTGAATTTTGCGAGTGGCCCAAATTGAAATTATAGAATATATATATATATATATGCGCGCGCGTTTAGAGTTTAAACTCCAACATTTATTAAAAAGTAAAAAATCATTTTCAATTGAATTTTGCGAGTGGCCCAAATTGAAATTATTATTAAAGATGACAAATTCATTTAGAAGCACTCCAAGTCACCCCCAAAATAATATTAATGACAATTCATGTATAATGGATTAATTGAGCGGGTTTGAAATTTATAAATCATTTTAGGATCAGGTTTAAGATGGCTATATTAATCTTAATATTGTGTTAGGGCTGAGTTGACACATAATTTTTTTTTAATGTAATTTAGCTCAATATGAACCTAGCCTGGTTGGTGCCCCTCTATCAAATATACTTTGGCAAGAAGGTTTGGGTGAGTTTGGGGCTAAAATAGCCACAAAAAACAAAATAGGCTATTTTAGTCACAAAAAACAAAACATCAAATCCAACCCCTAATCATTACAATCCTCTCTCACAAAAAAAGTCAAAAAAGCCAAAAAGCCAAAAAGCCCTTCCCAAACCAGGCTAAAATAGCCCAGGCTAAAATAGCCAAAAAGCCAAAAAGCCAAAAAGCCAACCCACTTCCCAAACGGAGGCTTAATAGACAATTCACCTAACTAATATAGAATATAATAGTTCTTAACAAAATTTGACATTCTTTTAACAATTAAATTTTAATAGTTAGTTTAAAAATATTGAACTATTTTTTTATATATGAAATTGCTTTGTAGAGTTCAAATAAATATGATGAATTATTTTTATTTTATAATATTTTGTATTTAAAAAAATTCATTTCGTTCATAGCACGGGTTTGTTGCTAATCTAGATAAAACAAAAATGTAAAATAAGGTTAGTTTTGTTTTCTTACATTAAAATTTAATTTTAACTAATTTTTTTTTCCTTCCCCACTCTCGAATAGGCATGCGAGACACATTCTCCATCAGTTTGAATGAAAATGTAGCATTTTAGTCCAAAATCATGGGAGGTACGTGGTTATTTTTAAAAAAACATAGAGGTAAAGTACTGTAAGAGGGGCTAATTTGAGCCCACTAAATTAGTTAGGCCCAATAGCCCAAGATTAGTGGGCCCGAATTTATCGCAAGTCCAAGAATCGGTGGGCCCAGATTTATCGCCTATCATGAAAAGTCTTCATGAAAATTTTCCATCTTTGGATTAATTCATAGTGTTTGTAGTGTTTTATTACATATTATGCAATCACCATTAGATTAGTTTCATGAAACTTTTCATGATATTTATTTCATGATACGTAGCATCATTCGAAGGGGTAAAATGAATTTTACCCAAAATAATACTCTACTTTCTTCCAATTCTTTACACTATTACTC